GGGGGTGATTTGCTCCGATTTTGGGTAAGAAACAGCCATGGGTCTCCTCCTTTTAGCCTTAAACTAACTTGGGTTACTCTAATTTGTGCTTTTGGTTCTTGAATTTTGGGTAGCCCGTGAGTTTCTCCCCTGCACTGCCGCCGGCCTCCTCCTCCCCTGCAGCTCCGGTTTCTACAGCTGGAGAATTATGGTATGTGACAGCCCTTTTAAGGCTTAAATTAGCCATTTAGTTTGCTGGCTGTGTTGTCCGAATTTGACAGAAAAATAGGGGAGAAATTGATAGTAATTAGACCATGATTTAGCTTAATTCAAGTGGGATTTATGTGATTGAGTGTTAATTGACTGCTGTGTGATTTTTGGAGAAAATCTCGTGAATTAGTTAGTGTTTTGGCCAATTTTTGGAAGTTGGGGTTACTGTTCACGTCGGGGTACTGTTCACGGGTACTGTTCACCGACACTGTTCACATCCGGAGGACCAACATTTAATGGGAATTTAAGTGATTAGTTTGTGATATAAGAACGAATTTGGAGATATCTGATAATGTGGAGATTGATGGAAATAGCATTGTGATTAGGAATGATCCTAATGATGAGTTTACCTTGAATTTATGATAGTTCGGTATTAATTCTGAGGTGTGTTGATTAAGTTTCCGATCGTTCTGTCAGTTAGCATTGAGATTGAGTGCTCGGTTTTATGCAAATGAGGTAAGTAAATTTATGGTAATGCCCGTACTGTTTTTAAAAGCATGTTTTGATTTGTTTTTGAAGTGGTGGCGGGACTAAACCCGTTTTATGCAAAAGTAAGTATGATTGATTTGAAATGAAATGTTTTATGCTTTTCATTAAATTGAGCATGCCTACTTGAAATTTGATTGATTGTCCTGATGATTTGAAAGTGATTGGTAAAGAATGATTTTCTGTGAACTTTTGCCTGTTTTGTCTCCGATATGGTTATGTTATTGATTGTAATCCTGCTAGTGAGGGTTAAACGCTAGCACATGTCGACATGTTATTGATAGAACCGGTTCGTTCAAGTGTAGCCTGCCAGTGGGAAGTTTAATACACTGGCCATGACCTATAGAGGAGACGTCTATTTCGTTCTCGCACTGTATCCGTTTTTCGTGATTGTACTTGTTGGCATGCTATAAGTTTAATAAGGGCACTCCATATTTATTTACTGAGTTTATCTCATAGTTTTTCCTTATCTACCATTTCAGGAAGTGAAACCAAGGACGAGAAAACCACGGGAAGTGACGAGTTAGAAGGCTAGCCATTTTGTAAATTGAGCATAGATTTAGAAACGAATCATGATCTTGTATTTGGAGATTTTATGATATCAGAGAGAATTTTATAATTTGATCTTTAGATTTTGGTGGTATCAGAGTGTGATGTGATAAGTTTCGAACCTTGTGCATTTGTGGGACCTGTCTCACGAGTACACGGCGTCTGTCGCGTCTCGAATTTGGGTTTTGAGGTGTGACACTTATGATAATGTTTCCAAATATTATAGTTTTCAGTTTTTATACTCCTAATTGTTGTAAAATGTATGACTAATTAATATATATATTTTTTTGAGACATGTTAAAAATTAAAAATTTTATGTTAAAACTCTCAAATTCAAGTTTTAATATAAGTGAAGAGAGGTATGAAAAGATA